ACAAACCTGAGTGAGGGAGAGTGGTGTACCTCGTTTTGCCGGTGGTGTACTGTTTTGCCGGTGGTGTTTCTCTTCGTCGTCGGCTGAGTGAGGGAGAAGAAGATCGGCTGAGTGAGGGAGAAGAAGATGGGTTGGATATCAAATACGGTTTTCGTAAGTTGAAAGGGAGAATGGGGGGCTGTTTTGTTTGTAATGAAAAGCGTTTTTAATTAAAAAAATATTTGGTCAAAAAACGGCTTTTGTAAAACCGTTTTTAATTAAAAAAATTTTTTGTCAAAAACCGGCTTTTCAAAAACCGTTTTTTATTAAAAATATTTTTTGTCAAAAACCGGCTTTTCTAAAACCGTTTTTTATTAAAAATATTTTGGTAAAAAATATTTATGTTGAAAATATAAATTAAAAAAAAAAGTAATGTAAAAACGATTTTACCAAAACCGTTTCTAATTAATTCAGAATTAATTAAAAATTAAGTAAAATCGGCTTTTGTAAAGCCGTTTCTGGGTCCAAAATTTATTATTGTTTTAATCGCAAAATACGGTTTTTTAAAAACCATTTTCTGAAAAACGGCATTACAAAAACCGTTTTACCCTATAATGAGAATAAAGTTAAAAACACAACCTAACCTGGGACTAAAATGTTCAAAACCCCACAAAGACGGAAATTGGCCCGGTTCAACCCCCCTTCTCTCTCTCTCTCTCTCTCTAATTTGAACATTTTGTCTGTACTTAAAATTATTTAATGTGTTTGGTTTTAATTTTTTTAATTTAATTTTTTGAAAATTAATATTTTATATTTTTAATTTTTTTTAATGTTTTTAAAATTTTAAGTAATTTTTTTGATGCAGATATATTAAAAAATAAAATATTTATAAAAAAATAATAAATATATAAAATTATAAAAAATGTATTGAATCTTTATTTTTATTTTTTTTGTGTTTTTGATATTTAGTGAATTTTTTTAAAAAAATTTCATAAATATTATATTTTTAAATATATTTATGTTAGGGAAAATTATTTATAAGTCCTATTAGGGAGACTTATGCTACATATAGTCCTACTAAAAAACTTATGTTCCCATAAGACATGTGGGAAGTTTGTTGACACATTTGCCCTCAATATTAGTTGTTAATATCATAAATAATAGTAAAATCATATATAGGAAATTGAATGTTACCATAGATTATATCTATATAAACATAACGTAATGTGACACATACATAAATGTAACGTGACACTTGTACATAACGTGACACCTACATAAACGTAACGTGATACCTATGATCTATGGCAACATTCAATTTCCTATATAGGAAATTGAATGTTATCATAGATCATATCTACATAAACGTAACGTAACGTGACACCTATGATGTATGGCAACATTCAATTTCCTATACATGGTTTTACTATATAGGAAATTGAATGTTACCATAGATCATATTTATATGAAACGTAACGTGACACCAACATAAATCAGCAACATTTGCACATTCAATTTAAAAAAAATAAAAACTCATTAAGTTTGCGAAGCGTAACGTGACACGTTACGTTACGTTTCGTCTATGTAGGTGTCACGTTACGTTTATGTAGATGTCATGTTCCATTACGTTTATGTAAGTGTCACGTCACGTTACGTTTATGTAGGATCTTGTGGAATACATCTCTATCTAAATAAGACTTGAGACTCTATAAGAAATTACACAAGACTTAGCCTAGTATAAGTGTCTGAAAAAGGACTTGTAAATAAGTCTCCCTTTATGTTAAGTATATCTAAAAATTAAAAAGAATATTAAAAAAATTAGTGAAAAAAAAAAACATAAGAAACAAAAAAATTCAATTTTTTGAAAAGTAAATCTTAAAAAAATTAAAAATCACATACAGGTTCAATGCAAACGTTAGGTTTTCTCGATTCGGTCCCCATTTTTAAAATAAACAAAATTGTATTTCACAATTCATGTGACGGTTTTATATTTACAGATCCGATTAGAACCGAACTAAATCATTTAAATATATATTAAATTATTTATTCAAGTAACTCATTATTATCAGACACACACACACACACACACACACACATATATATATAGGCAATTTGAGAGTAAAATTATAAATCGAATGGCAGATTAACAGATTGGCGGATTGGCAAATTGTGATTTGAGTAGTTTTGGACGGATTGGCGGATTGAAGAATATTTTAACCAATTATCAAGCATTTGAATAATATATAACATTAATTTACATAATATTTTTTTATATATATAACCCAAACTAATTTTACATAATCTTTTTCATGTATACGACTACTAATTTGTAATAAATTTCACATAGTAAATTTCCTTCATATTCATTTTTAATTTGATATTTCATTATAGGTTAAAAATATATATATGTATTAATTATAGCGGAGTGTAGCAGTTTCAAAAACAGTTTATAAGTTTTAAAATTTAGACCGCATTTAGCGGATAAAGCGATATTGACTAATGCAGTGTGATTTTAACGAATTGGGCAGTATTTTGTACAACTCTCTCTCTATATATACATAATTTGTAATCTTTTACTTTTGCAATCATGTTTTTTATAGTGGTATAACTAGTTTTATAAGTCATAGGTTATGAATAATATTTTGTGAAGGGAAACACTAGGGTACATCCTGTGTATCATATGCATAATTTTAAACTTTATGAGTCATAACTAAAAAAAATGTCACAATATGGAGTATAATTACAGATCTCATGAGTTATAATTAAAATAATATTATAACTGAAGAAAAAAAAAATGGTTATAACTAAAGAAGAAAATGACATAAGTAGTGTGCATATGATACAACTCTTTCAAAGGTGTGTATATTACAATTTTCCTTTTGTGAATGATGATAAAGTTTTTAAAAATTGTAATTTTAAATTGAACCAAACTAAACCACGGTTTAATTGCTCAGTCTCTTTTGTTTGTAAGATTTTCATAATTTAGTTTGGTTCCAAATTTCATAAAATTGGGTTTTTGGCATGTGGTTTTTTTTGGCTAAAATAGTCAAAAAGAAAAAAATACAAAATCACATCTCTCTAAGTTTTTTATGTTTTTTCATTAAAATTAAAAAAACAACTAAAATAGTCAATTTCTAAACAAGCTCTAAGTAATAGTTCTGTTTGGTTTACTCCTAAACTGAACCAATCCAAATTATGCTCATCCCTAGTGTCTCTCATGAAGTGTGCCTGTACAAACAATCGACAGTAATTTGGACAGAAGAACCAAATTGAAACTAAATTAAATCAAAGTAAAATTTGAGTCAAACTATAGCAGTAAAAAGTGTAATTTACCCAAGTTAATAATGCCTATGTTTGAGAAGTGGTTTTTGGGGCTTTTTTCGGGCTAAAATAGCCACAAAAAACAAAATAGGTTTTTTAGCCCAATAAAACAAAACATCCCATACAACCCATAATCATTACATTATTTCTCTCACAAAAAAACAAAAAAAACCAAAAAAGCCAAAAGTCCTTTTCAAACCAAGCTTTTTAGCCCCAGGCCAAAATAGCCAAAAAGCCAAAAAATCAACCAACTTTCCAAACGAAGCCAATATATATTGATACACTTTTGTTTGTGTTTGTTTTAGTATTATGTTATAGTTTACATTTCCAATTGAGAGCTAGCTATTCTCTCAGTCAATGTTGTCTAGTTTGCCTTTCTACTGTGATATGGTATTTTGCCAGCCTTTTGGTGATGATGATGATGTCAAATTTGAAAATATATGACATTCTTCCCCATTTTTTGTTGTCGGGTGTTCCTACTTCAGCTCTTCACTTTTAGTTTCTAGCATTTGTGTTTCTTCAATGAATTCTATGCCCAATTGCCATCCATAGTCATCGATGAGTATAAATTGCTTTAATTAACATGACAAGATTTGCAGTTCCACTTGCATGATAAAGCTTATATCGTACCTTCGGTTGTGCCAAATTTGCCTCATGATGAATTGGTCCATCGTAAATTAATTAATTCCATTTTGTTTTTTCAATTTGTAAGTGAGATAGTTCAAATTTGTGTAGCTATTCAACGGCATAACATTGTATCTTTCATATCTAGTTTAAAATTATTATATATTCTGATAGAAAAGACTGAATTTAAATACTCATAAAGAGAGTAGGGCTTTGTCAACTTGTGGTGTTACATGTTTTCAGCCAAACAAATCTAATTATCTAACTTTTGTAGATATTCAAATTATATTATGGGGCCAAATTCACATTGTGGGTGTTTGGAAAGTGGGTTTTTTTAATTGTAGGATATTATTGGAGAATTTTTTTTTTTTTGTGTTTGGGAAGATAGTTGGGTTTTTTTGTGATTGGACGTGATGTTTGTGAGAGAAAAAGTGATATGATTATGGGGTTTGATGTCATATTTTGTTTGGATTTATTTTTTTTGGTTTTGTAACCAATTTGTCTTTTAGTGAAAAAAAACCAAAAAAAATCCTTCCCAAACACCCCAATTATTGGGATGACCAAACAGGCCCTTTCTGATCCGAAGTAATTAGGACAGGCTTGAGTTGAGTTCTGGCTCAACTCACCACCGTGCTGCAATTTTTTAAAACAGTTGGAATCAATTAAGCCAATAAAAAAGTAAAAACGCCCGTGTTTGGAGATCAATTACCCATGAAGGCAAACCATACTCTTTGGATTACAATCAATGTGCACTCTTTCTTAAGTTAAGCATGCATCCAAATTGTTTGATCATATACCAACATTATGCTGTGGTAGAGTAGGATGATAATCTTGTTTCTACTTCCCTTCCTCTTTACATATACATGTTTCTGCATGTCTCCAAAATGATTTACTTGTTTTTTTCTTTGATTCTTCTTTTTGTAACCCATCTTTTCACCAGATGGGAGAACTCAAGAAACTGGTTGAAGAGGGTAAAATAAAGTACATTGGTCTATCTGAGGCCTCTCCTTCAACAATCAGAAGAGCTCACGCTGTTCATCCAATTACAGCAATACAATTGGATTGGTCTTTATGGATGTGGAGGAAGAAATAGTTCCTACTTGCAGGTGAGGCGTCTATTCTGCTAATTGACATTTTAGGGAATAACAAGAAATCCAAATTGCTAATTTGATATCCGTGGTGATTATTCAGAGAACTTGGCATTGGGATTGTCGCATACAGTCCTTTAGGAAGAGGATTTTTATCATCAGGTCCCAAGCTTGTTGAGAAATTTGCAAATGAAGACTTCCGAAAGGTTTGTGCAATGTTAATGTCATCATAACATTGTTGTTAATAGTCTTGACTTTCTCTCTTCGTACAAACTGTAGAAAAGTAATTGATGTTATAAGATGAAAAAATACACCATGTTTTCTAAAAGTGAGGAGCGCTTGTTGGTGAAAGTTTCCTGTATAAAACTTATTAAATAAATTGTAATTTTATAGCCAGTCGTTGTAATTTTATAGCCAGTCAGTTGTATGTTTTCTGCTTCTTTGGGCATAAATTACTTTTGTGCTTCTAGGATTTTCTATTAAACTACATTCCGGTGAACTTTGTCAACAAGTGTAACTATTCAATGAAAAACTTTTCTCTTTTATCTTTTGGCACGAATTTTTTATTATGAATGTAGTTACGTTTATTTCATCCTTCAAACTCTCTTAATCCATTGGGAAAACAGGCATTGTGTTGGGTTGTGATGCAACTTCAGAGCATGTTTTACGTGATCAATCTTTGTATGGCGGATTCACAGTTCTGATTCTGAATCATGAATTTCATTTAATTTTTATTTTCTATTTTTTATTTTTTTGCAGCATCTACCAAGGTTCCAGCCGGAGAATATGGAGCATAACAAAAACATGTTTGAGCGAGTTAATGAAATAGCAGAGAAGAAGGGGTGCACCCCAGGGCAGCTAGCATTGGCATGGGTTCATCACCAAGGGAGTGACGTGTGTCCAATTCCCGGCACCACCAAGATTGCAAACTTGAATCAGAACATTGGAGCTTTGTTGGTAAAACTAACACCGAAAGAAATGTCTGAACTTGAATCCATTGCATCAGCTGATAAAGTTAAGGGAGACAGGTACGGGGAGGGCCTGACTACTTGGAAGAATTCAGACACCCCACCCTTGTCCTCATGGACATCTTAAGAAATACATCTTTCACTTGTGTTGGTTGTTCCTTTGGAGTTGTAAAAGAACTCGGTTTTGTGATCCTCTGTCTTTGGAGTGTGTGTAATCTATATTTGGTTTTTATGTGAGACCATGTTGAGGGTGATGTGAGCAGGGAAGGGACCTTCATTTTGTCCATCACCATTGGAGCTATAAATAAAAGGAGTTAAAATTTCTGTGGTTAATTTTATGGTTGGTTAAATTACACTTACTTCTATTAACGTTTGAAGAAAATATATCAAGGCTTCAAATTTTATGCTTCCTGAAAGTTTTAATTCAAATAACACATTTGTTCTATTTATTAGTTATTTGTTTCTGAATCGAGAAATGACCAAATGAATTATGGAAACAAATCAAATGTAGATTGTTGTGCGATAAGTCCGTAGAAAATAAAATCATATCAAAATAGTTGATGGTTTTAAATATGGAATAGAAGAATTATGTAAATTATATAAATTCACGAGAGAAACAATTGTAAGATATCAAGATTTATGTGGTTTAACATTAGTCTACATTCACATGTGAAGAGAAGAATTCACTATCGAGAGGATAGTTGCTCTTGAGAGTTATAAGGTGACAAAACAATCTCTCACAAAACTTATCACTCAAATACTTTCTTATCAAACCCAAAATCCTCTCTACTTCCGAGAGACAAGTTCTCACAAGGAGACATATAATAGATTTAATTAAACATAATTATAGATCCCAAAGCAAAGAAGAAAGAGAGACGAGAACAAAATTTGAACCCTCTAAAACAAGATAAAATCTCACTAAATCAAGACTTCAAAAATGACACCAAACTAAAAAAGTCATTTTTGACGACTCCAAACAAACTATGGTGAACATATACGGATCTTCCAAGACCAACAAATATAGATTTTTCAAAACTAACGATTACACATTTATGAAGGATCACCAAGCAAGGAGAAAACCTCCAAAAAGAGACCTTAAGGAACTTCAAAAGCTCTACCAAAGACTCAGAGGCCTTCCAAAATCCTCCCAACATGGGGGGCTTGCTAGGAACTAAAAGATCTAATTGAACAAGTAGGCTTCACATATTTATAACCAAATAATCATTCTTAAAACTAATCCTAAACAAAATAGGTTTCCTATCAATCTAATTCACAATAATTAAGAAACTCTAAATTCAAAGTTTTAGAGGATCCAAATCAAGTCAAACAGATCTCTTACAAATTCAAACTCGAGTTAAAAATAAGTCCAAATTTAACTCAATAACTCTTGGCACAATTCTTATTCCAATTACAAAATTAAATACCAAACTAAATCAAATTGAAAATACACATTAAACTAATTATCCAACACATATTGGAAACTCCGCAAATACTATGTATGTAATGGAAGATTTTCATTACATATTTAATAGATATGAAATAGGAATATAAATTTATAATTTTTTTAAATTAAAAAAGATCATTAATTAAATGATATAATAAAAGCTTTCCATTATAAATATTAAATATGCAATGGAGAGGAATACAATTCTATAAACTAGGGAGGTTATTGTTTCCCTTCAAAATCATTACGAATTATTTTATTTTTGCAATTTTTAGCAAAACACATAAATATGTTTTCCTGATGACAATAATAAAAAAAAAATAAAAAAATAAAAACACACTGTAACAAGTCCGCGGGGGACCTCGCTACAGCTCGGACTCGATTTGTGTCACGGTTCTAAGTCTGAACCAAAGAGTCCAAATCAGGCAGATCGTTTTGAGAAAACAGTTTTTTGAAAGAAGTGCCAAACATGGACTGCTTTGCCAGATACAGAATCGCCACCTAAATATTTTGTTTTGGGAAATTTAGGAAACCCTGACTCGTTGCCTAAGGCCACGTGTCCGTCATCACCAAAGTTGCCTCGGCTCGGGAACTTGGGTACGATTGGGGAAGGTCACTTCGTGAGCACCCCCGCTCGCCCGGTCAGAGACCGACCTCTACTAACCATGATATCTATTTTTGAAAACATTGTATGTTCTTATTCCAGTTATTAGCCTAGGTTACTATGTGATGCGCATAGCGTACAAGTATAGACTGAGTCGCCTGAATTGGAATAAAAAATTTCATGTTTGCTTTTGAAAGATGGTTTGCTACTCGCAGGTAGGCTTAAAATGCAGATTTTGCCACCCTCGGGTGGGCTTAGAAAAGATGGTTTTGCCACTATCTAGTGGGCTTAAAACAAACAGTTGATGATTTATTCCAATCCAAGTAACCCAACCTTCACCCACAGGCATTCAGGCAGTTATATCACATAAGCACATAGCCTCATGGTAAGTATGCTATCATGGCAGTCACTCACACATATGCAAGGATGCTAAAGCATAAAACTTACAGAGTACTCCAAGCCAAAACAAAGACTACATTAGAAATCATGCATGATCCTAAGTATACAGAAATGTTAACCGTAACACATACAAAAAATGCACTATAGCAGGCTCGGCTATTCTAAACATGGCATATGGAATGCTACAGCTAACATGTATTCAATTTGGAATTGAAAATACAATGCAGTTAGTATGGTGCGCCGAGCCCGGTGCATGCAAAAATAGATGAATGATGCAACATGCTGTCATACTGTATGCTAATTGAAATATGCCCTAATCTAACCATCATAAGCGGATAAATAAAAGGGAGAAAGACGTGTGGTTGGAAGACTACAACACACACACGCACACTTATTACAGTTGTTCCCTCGCGCAGAGGGTCCAAATAAATATACAGTCCCAATAAAAAGAATATTACAGTCCAAATATTACAGTCCAAATAATGTACAATTCCTAATTAATTAACAATTAATTTAAGAAAATAAATAAAAACTGGCGTGCAAGCCAGGGACTGCCTTGCTTCTGATGAATGATGCATGTTTAGGCTGCTTCGCGCGGAAATCTACTGGGATGCCCCAATTAGCCTCTGTTTAGCAGTTATTCTTGGAAAGCGTGCCAAGCTCCGAAAAGTCGCTGATTCTTCATTTTGCTGCAACAGAGAGCAGGAAAGGGGCATAGCAGTGTTATTTTCACAAATA